CTCCCAACCTCCCCCCCCCAAAAAAAAGAAACAAAAAACAAACCGTGTATCCAGTGCACCTGCCCCAGCCTAACCCGCATGCGTGCGCGCAGTGCATGGGCGCATGCCTGCGCGCCCGTGCTCATGTGCGCTTTGCCCGGCACACAGCGCAGCGCACACGCGCATGCGCAGCGGAGCACGCACCGGTGCTGTGCGCCGCAAGTATGGTAAAAGTAGTCAACCATGTAAACCATGTACGAATGTTGTAATGTTATGCAGAAAAGAATGTAGACTTTGTAAGGGCCTCGCCACACCACTCTTGAAACGGGGAATTTTTTCAAGAGCTGTCAGACGTTCTCAAGAGTTGGGTTTTCAAGAGTTTCTGGCCCTTCGCCACACAGCACTCTCGAAAGGGCGATGGTGTTGGACAACCGATGAAAAACGACAGTCGTACAGCTTTGTTTTTTCCGAATGGCGTCAGGATAACGGCCTGACAACTCTCAAAAATCGAAAGTCCCTCAAGGATTCGGCCGAGGACGCTTGAAAACGCACGAGTTGCAGGCTGGGGTTTCCCATCTTTCGAGAGCTGCTCTTGAAAGGGTTTCAAGAGCTGCTCTGACAGCCCTTGACTGCCCCAAGTTTCGAGAGGCTGTGTGGCGATGCACTAAGTGGCTGTGAAGGGATCCACCTGTCCAGCAGAGAGGGAGGCTTCAGCCAAAAAAGAGAAAAAAACAGGGAAGCTTCAAGCCTTAAGCCAGCATTTCCCCCACTCGATCCGCCCGCGCATAAGTTGGCATCCATTGCTAATGGGATGTAAGGAATAAGCCAGTATTTATCAATGATTTTGTTTTTTTTCTCTCAGGATGATACTCTTTGACATCAATGATAGATCAAAGGAAAAACAAGAAAAAGGGATGTAAGGAATAAGAGAAAGAAAGGCTGTTGGCACATGGAAAGCCCACATGTATGGCTTATCACCGTAGTTGTGATGCACCAGCGCGGTGCGGCGTGCGGTGCGGTGCGGTAAGTGCGATGCGGGAATCCTCTCTGTGCGCGCTGCACCGCATGCACATCGCGGATAGGCGGAGTATGCTGTGCGTCGCGCTACTGCCTTGGTGTGCGCGCACACGTGTAAGGTGGGCGGGTTTTATATACGAACTTCGAACGATTATGGGTCGCTCGTTTGCTGAAAAGAAATGGGCCTCTCTCCACGTGTTATGAACTTGGTTGTCTGACGATTTTCTCGCCACTCGCACGCAGAGTGTCTGACACACGCCAATACACATACCAGACAAAGGGGAGAGGAGACAGAGTCCAAACTGCACACAGACAAAGATAAGCAGCGGAAGTCAACCCACATACAGAGTGTCTGANAGTGTCTGACACACGCCCATACACATACCAGACAAAGGGGAGAGGAGACAGAGTCCAAACTGCACACAGACAAAGATAAGCAGCGGAAGTCAACCATGCACAGATGGGGAGAAGACGCACAGTGATTCTCACTCTCTGACAGACTCCCAACAACCAATCACAAGAAGACACCTGCGAGGATAACAATCGGAATCACACTGCTGATGAGCCAACTCACACCAATAATCGTTACAGAGTTTATCCCAGTGTCTCGCCACCCTCAGAACTCCACACACCACTCTCTATTCCACACCCAGTTAGTAGCGCAACACTGAATCCGCCTCCCAGAGGCCAGCGCCAACCATCCAGATGAAGAACATGAATCGCGATGAAGTCTTCAGTGCCGATGAGTAACTCTGACGAAGAAGATGGCAGCTATGGCTGCCACACCACTGATGAAGCCCTGACAGTCTCTAAGGAGTGAAGGGCGACAGTGGTCCACCCACGTACGCTCAGTAGAGAGCCTCCGAACAGCCCAGCCAATCGCAGATACCCTCAGGGGTAGATGCTCAGAGGGTGCCCCAGCTATGGCAAGCACCGGCAGGCTGACTATGGCTGCCATCCACGATGAGGGACTCAGGATGCCGCCTGTAGACAATCACCACCACCAAACTTGCTTGGCTCCAGAACGCTGTCTCGCGAAAATGAAATGCCAAAAGTCCCTAACCTACAGGCTCAGTCCTATTAATAGACTAGCCTACTCTAGACCTAGACCTACTGGACCGGTACCGCATCAGTTTGGCCTGTTCGGCCTGGGCCCTACCCGACTATACGGCGCCTAACCCGTCTCTACCACCCAAGGCCCAGATGGGCCTGCTGTCCTAGTGATAGCCCAGGTCTGCTAAGGGCCGTGACGGCGAAGGGGAACTCGGGCCTGCAATTTTCGTGTAAATTGCAGATGTGTCCCTCACGAATTTCCCTCAGGACTAAATCGGTGGTCAGTACCTGACATAACTAAAATTATGAACCTGATCCTATGACACGACTATACAACCTCGCAGTCAGGTCTCGGCAGCAGAAATCAGCAAGTCATTGCAAAGGACTCCTAATGATGGCTGTATCGGGTGTGAAAGATCTGTGTATACACTCGTGAATGATGAGGGTTTGTTTCATTGTTTTTGAAATTTGAATGTATACAAGCATCCTTCAGGTTGGATCCAGTCACATGAGGGTGTGTCGAATGATACAAGGCCTGGTGTGGCATACTGCGCATCCACACGGCCCTGCAGGGCCCAACCAGACGGAAAATAAGGGCCCTCCAGGCCCTGTGTCGTTTCAGCCTAAACGCCTGAAAAGGAGGGCCATTTTCAGGCCCTCATAAAGAGGACCTCCCCTGAAACTTATGCACCAGACCAGGGTTTGGCACACGCCATTTTTAGGCCTGTTTCAAGACAACCTTTGTTTGAACTTCAACGCCAGGAAAAAAAAAAAAAAGAGAGAGAGAAGTTCAACGCCAGGGTCTGGCACGATTCGGCATCGGCAAGAGCAGCCTCCCAGGCCGGACCAGCACTATATAGTACTGGTCCGCCCTGCAGGCTGCAGGTAGTTCACGGGCACTTCACGTGCAGTTCAGGAGGCAGGAGTCAGTCTTCAGGATTCGGCAGCAGCACTCTGCAGGAGCGCTGCAGTAGTAGTAGCTAGCAGTAGTCTTCAGCGCTAGGCGCTGTTAGGAGCTTAGAGTGGCATTGGAGAAAGAGAGAGTTTGCGGAGGCCAGGGAGACTTACCTGTGGCGCCATAGCTCCAGCTTCATGTTCGATGTACCTGTAACAAGGCGCCACCTTCACAGGTCAGTACTTGGCACAAGAGAGAGAGAGAGAGAGAGAGAGAGAGAGAGAGAGAGAGAGAGAGAGAGAGAGAGAG